CATATTAAGGATCCTACTATAATTTTCGGAATATTCCTTAACTAAGGAATCTTGGAGTCTCTGGGTACGGCGTCGGCTCCCATCCGGAGACGCGCTGCCTCCCGCGGCGGGGATCTCTGGGCGACCAGGCCGGGGACCCACCACAGCCAGACTCGTGTGCGCCATGGCTGCGGCCATTCCAGAGGCAGAGACTCCAATATCCCTCAATTAAGGAATATTCCTGAAATTATAGTAGGATCCTTAATATGATTTAAGGTATATTCCTTAATTAAAGGATATTGGAGTCTATGGGGAGGCCACTTGCGGTGCACGACAGTAAAGCTGGTTGCCGACTCACACTTCTCGAAGTCCCTTGCGGTACCCGGCGTCCTGGATCGACGATAGGAGCATTTGGCTGTGTGTGCGTCTTACCATCAGTGTTGCTGTTCTTCTTGTGAAACCATTACTGCTGCCAGTTATCAGTGTACTTGCCCTCGTTGCTAGTAGTATGATCGTGATTCTTATGTCGACTGCCGACATGTGGATAAGCTTCTTTGAAGATGATTGCACGTGTGCCTACGGTTTGGTTGCGAATGCGATTGTGATTCTGGCTTTCTTCGTACTCGTGTTGCTATAACTCAATGATATCCTCGTTCGGCATGCTATCGCTCTTTCGGGATGTACACGAGAGACCTCTGTAATCTCTGCTAAAGTCTTCTAGCTGGCTTCAAACTGTTGATGATACAAATCCTGCGTTACCTTGGGGGGCCCCAAACTATGGGAATTATGGCTTATTCCTTATTATGGGTATTGCAGGGTTTATATACACCCTAAACCCTAAAACCCTAAACCCTAAACCCCAATCAACCGTACTTCCATTTACGTGAAAATTGAAGAAACAGAGCACGAAGCATAAGACCTGGAGGCGCAAACCCCGAACACCAAACCCTAAACCCTCAACATCCTACCTACGCCCTAAACCCCCAGAACCCCGAAACCCCGAAACCCGAACCCCAAAACCAAAACGCGAGGAGACCCAAAACCTTCGGAAGGGCACCCTAGTCCAGGATTTAGGGTTTCTTACAGAGGTAACCCTAGTATGGAACCCTAAAAAGGAACCCCACTCTGGAACCCCAAACCCTAAACCCTAAACCCTAAACCCTAAACCCCAAACCCTAAAGCACCCTTTAAGGGGACCCCCCCCCCTTTTCTCTCAAAAGTTGCGAGAGCACCCCGCGGCTTCTCTGAGGCACCCGGCCTGCCCTTCGCCAGACTCCTTGCCCTGGGCTTAAGGCTTAAGGTTTGGGGTTTAGGGTT